ACACAAAACATGACCTTCTGCAGTGCAGTAGACACATTGTCGTACAAATGTAGCCTCAATATTGACATACAAGTATCTGATGTTAGCTGTCATTATGATGCCATGATATGATAAAATAATACACACTGTGGGCTTGGGAAGGGGGTTAATGATGCACAGCTAAGTGAAGCGGTTAAGCTCGCAGCAGCAGTGTAGCTTGGCTAGGGTCAGCGTGTTCATCAGTGTACAGTATCTTCAAAAGGAATGAACCTCAGTTGTTTTAGTTACGGATAAATGACTTAAACACATATCACTGCGGAGTGCTCTAACCTTACCCACTGAGAGCTTAGCTGAACTCCAGCAGTTGTCATTATTACACAACATTTTTTGTAGCTATCAAAGATAAGTCTTGTATCTGAGGCTATATGGTAAATTGCTTCTCACAAGTTAACCTGTCTGCAGAGTGGCTGAAACAAATTACAGCCTGTCTTTGATGTTATACCAAGAGAATCAACACCTCAAGAGGTAGGCAGGATGAGTTTCAGCCAGAGTTCAAGAAACATTTAATGACTCACAGCATGCATCCATCTCACACTAACACAGACACACTAACCTTCACTCTTTACTTAAAGTAAGACTATGTAGGTTTTGCTGAGCAGCGGCAACAACGGCCTGTGCATCCACAAGTGTTAATTACAGGACACTAGAGCATCCAATTTTTTGTTGGGCTCTGAGTCCGAGCATTTACAGGTACTGGACACAATACACCCCTAGAAGCTAACAGCTCAAGTTAGCTATGTTAGCAAAGCCTATCAACTGCTCAGGCAACAAACAGACAATCATCATCTCAGTACAAGCAAGCAATCACACTATCCACTCATGTCAGGTCAGCATTCAGCTAATCCGATTGAGTGAAAACATCTGAACCCACAGCAGTCGTGTGCTAAACTGTAGATGCTAGGAACTAGTCTCTTCGTCCGTACTGAGAATACAGGGCTGAAGAACCATAGCTGGTGGTGTGTGACATAGTGTATAGTACATAGTACATACATAGTAAAGCGTTCTGCACTTCTTGTGGCAGATCATATCCACTCAACCCAAGGTACGGGTGGGAATAAAAGAGGCGCCATTCTCCCTACTACAAGTCAGCATATCATCAAAATGATTTTGAAGTTGTTATTTTGATGTAAAACAGTTGATTAATGTTGCTTTAATGATACAAACAAAGCATCCATGAGCAGCTTGAGATTTAACTTCTCATTCAGTTTAGGAGTCAGGCTAAAAACTTTTCCAACAAATCATCAGAATTATTCTTCTGTACAAATGATCCTTATCATGAAGAATAAGGCGTGTATGATACTAATAACATGATCTATGTTATCTACAAAGCACCATTGTTCTGCCTCTCCAGTGGATGTGATGCAACATCCTTCATGTCTGATAACCAATGCTCAGCTTCCAGATTGCATTGTGTCAAGCTGTGAATACATACTCCCGTTTCCCTGGCACACATCCTGCATTTCTTGAGTGCAAGTGCACAGGCTGAATGAAGCAGTGTGTCAAAATATATGTTCTATCTGGACCAATGTTACCAGAATGAAATATTTGTACTTGCTCGTTATCGTTATGCATGTAAATCATCGTTGATTGATCAGTTTATTTTCTTGATTATTTGATGATTAATCATTTGGTCAAAAAGTGTCCAAAAGCCGAAGACACTTTGAAAATGCTTGTTTTGTCCAATTAACAGTCCAAAACCCAAACATATTTATAATCTCAAAGACGAAGAAAACCAGCAAATAATTGCATTTGGGAAGCCATGTGTAAAACATGGATGAATCAATTACTGTATCAGAATAGTTGCTGTCGATGAAGTATTTGATTAATCAACTATTTGTTGCAGCTCTGAAAGAACTAACATGTATCTTTATTGACTTTAAAGAGGTCTGTCTTTTAATATGATCAGGAAAACCACTGCCTTACAACATCTTAGGTTACAATGAATCAGGCAACTAGATTGGTCAAAATTCATCTCTAAGCATTTCAGATTGTTTGCATTTAAACTGAAATGTTGCTAATACCTATACGTACACAGTGGGACCCTAAAGCTTGAGACCACTTACCCATTCAAGTGCCTGGGAAAGTGGTCTACATATACATACTAAATAATTTACAGCTGTTTCTTGGAAAGAAAGGGGAAAAAAATCTGTACTCTAAGAGTGAAAGTACAGGTGTGACCTTGGACAAAACCCAAAGCTTTAAAATTCTGTGTGTTGTCCAAATTCAGAGGTCATTCACACAGTGCAGGGAGCTGATAGTTACACAACAGTGCCTTGTGAAGGAAAGGTAACAGGGTTAATTGACCCCACTTTCCCCACTAGCCTTGAGATGCAGGTCACAATATTTGATGCTTGCACATGCTCCAGGTCTGGTCGACTGCATGCTGACCCATGTACTAGAGCAGTTTAACTTTATATCTATATCATCGGCATTTATCTTTCCGTAATAATTTACTGCTCAGACCTATTTTTTGTCAGTCTGTTCAGTATTTTGTGATGTGGCTTATATCTGACAGCAGTCTAAACAACCGCTTCTGACACACGTGCCAAAAAACAATGCCAAAGAACACCTGACACATTTGCGCTTAAGTATACAAACGAAAAGAGGGCCATTTAAATTAGTGACCTTGCATGTCATGTCATCATGCTGCTGCACTGTGTCATACCTGGGCTTATCTCATATGCTTACGTGTAACTCAAATGCTTCTTTTATTTTGAGTCTGTGACTTCTTTTAAGTTCATTTTAAGGCTCATAACTTTGCACTCACATTCCCCTGGCTCCAGTCAGTCATTTCTTTTTATACAGATCACATGGGTACATCGAATGAGTTTTGTGGCACTGAAGTGACATTTAAATGATTATGTAGATACCTCAGTGCTCCTTAATAACTGACTGATGACACACATTAACTCAAATCTGGTTTGTGTCAGAATAAGAACCAAAAATCAGCAATCAGCATTAAGATATGTTTTTATTAGTTTTACACTGTAGTAAATACAGATCCCTGTCACACAGGCAGATTTTAAATAATTAACATGATTTGGACCATTTTACCTGCTGTTTGAATGTATCCTAAAACGCAGCTGTATGTATAAATGTATAAATTTAATTCATATGAGAAGTACCAGACTGAATTACAAAATATTACATCTGATTGTCGCAATTAAACTTGAGTCCTCATTCACATGCTACGCCTGTATAGTGTTTCACTTCCAAACACTCACAGGTCTGTAACACATATTGCTCAACAAAAGACCAGGTGTTCTATAGGCTGAAAGCTTTGCAATATTAATCAGTGTGCCTTGTTGCTCCCCATGTTCACCACTTCAGCAATTTGTAAGCATTTGCTCAGAGCTGTGTGCAACCAAACACCACTGACAACCTGAATCACTTCAAGATATTCAACCAGCCAGTTGAGAAGAATCAACAGACGTACTTTCTCGGTACAGTTACAAAAAGAAAAATTCCTTCACCTTGACTGTATTTAGTAAATCTAGTATTTAAGGTCACAGCTTATTTTCGTTTTCCATTAACCTTGATTAATCAATTAGACTATAAAATATAAAGAAATTTGCCGTCACATTTTTTGAGAGCCCAAGGTGATGTCTTCAGGTGTTTTGTTTTGTCAAAACCAAAAGTCCAAAACACAAAGGTGATTCATTTACTGTCATACAGGACAAAGAAAAGCAGAAAATCCTCACATTTTAGAATCTGGAACTCAAAAATCTGGCATTTCTCTTGAAAATCACCCTCAACAATTACCCAGTTATCAAAACAGTATGATTAATCAGTTATTTGTTGTAGCTCTACAAGTAATACTCCTTTTAAGTGGGGGCAAAGTAGGCCCATATGCAGCAAAAATACAAAATGTGACCATGTGTAACTACACAAATAAAAACCAGACTGAGCTATGCTTTTCAAGGTAAGGAGGTTTTTCACAGAATCACTGTAATAGAGGAAAGTAATCTTGCTTTGAATGGAAATGCTCTATTGAAAGTGGAGGGAAAAGCAGCTGTGCCACTTAAAATTCAAAAGAAAGAAGAGCATTTTTATTCATTTTTCTTCGACTATCTCATTTTTATTCAACCATCTGCCCTAACCCTGTCACTGACTTATTTCTAATTCAGGAAAAAAAATACTTGGTGACAGAGGGCAGTGGGATAGCAACTACACATTGGTGTCAGTGTTCATACAGTGGCCAGTACTCATCAGCTGGAGAGAAATTTGCCCCAATTTGTGCCTCTCATGTATTGCCATTTGAGTGTTTGAAAAGACGGTTGTTTAACAGCACTTACCAGCATCCTCAATACTATTCTTCTCAACTGGATGAAAAAAATTATGTCTGCTGCAGAACAAAAAGATTTTTCACCAGTTTCTAAAGCTGCGACTGTATTTCCTAATCTCCTAAGGTAGAAGGAAATGACATGTCTTTGTTCTTTTTGTAAAAAACAAGAAACATATTATTGCATGACGTTATACTATGATTTCTGATATATGCAATATACCAAATGTAACTAATAATAGCAATATTGATAAAGCTTAAATTTTGGTTCATGTTGTAGAACTTAAGCAAAGACATATATCATTCTACAGCTATCATCTTTGTTTGGACAAGAAAGCAGCATCATAACTGTTTTAATGTGCAGCAAACGCAACATTTTTCATCCAGATGTTTTGAAGAGTCTAACCAGGGTTTTGGACATATCTTCAGAAGAACAGCAAGTTTTGTTATAAAATATTCTGGGTTTGATGAGGTTTATATTTTTCAGTGCAACAGATGTTTATCTCTGTGATTCAAGTGTAAATTCATGAAGCACAAACAGGGGCTAGGGTGCAACTTCACAGCTTTTAGAGCAATTTTGTGCACGCTTACCCATCAGCAAACTGCTACCATTAGGTCCAGTGTGCAAAGAAGCAAGAAAGCACATGGACCAATGGCAATATGCATGAATCTATCTTACCTGTATAGCCTGCAATCCAGCCCCATGAAGACACCATGGCCAGCAACCATTTGAACATAATTCCTTCAATGTGCCAGAAAGTAGAGCTGTCCCATATTCTCAGCGGCTGGAGAAGCAGCAGGTATAAGCAGTACGATGGGATGGCTACACAGTTGTTGAAGAACATAAACACAAAACGGAGCACAGCCGTGAGCAGAACCCAGCCCAGTTTGCTGGCCCCGTCCAAGAGCTGTGCCATCCTGATACACACCGTCTGTAACAGAGACACAGCAGCAGTTAACATCTCGGCTTGGCTTGTTTGACAAAAGACAAAACGAGTCATGTGTGTACATAACATTAGCCTTACTGTAAACAAACTGATTTGCTCTGAACAGGACACGAATCCGCAGAATAACCCAATGATATACCACACACTGAGGAGGGAGTCTGCCGCGAACCGGTTGAGGGTGAGGCTATTTCACGGAATTTAAATGAAACGCGCGTAGTGGACGCTATTTTCTGATTTTTAATCAATAGGATTTATTCCTGACTGTAGCGGTTTGTTATTCGTGACTGCCCAATAGCTAGCTGCCTAGCCGTACCAGTAATGCATGCAAAGACAGGACCATAAAAGGACCAGTCGCACGGGACGTGGTCATGACATGCTAGCTAGCAGTAGGCTGAGTTAGCATAACGGGAGCAGATGTCATCAAACGTGTCAGGTGTGACAACCCTTGGGTTATAACATTATTGCTAAACATACTGACACACACAATAAAGGAAATAATAAACGTAAGTGCTTATGTATTTTATGAGACAATACCAAACGTTAACTCGGGCGCTGTATGTCTGGAGGCTGGTGCAAAACTCAATATCCGTGCATTTCACCCAGAATATAGTCCGGCCCTTTAATTTACTTTAAGTGTGGTAGCTAATGTTACTCACCCCAATTAATGTCACTGAAGCATCCAAGGACAGTCGGGGATGTAGCTAATTGCTGGAGCGAGATAAACTATATCACGTGTAGCTCTCCTAAACGGTTAATTTAGCAATTTTTGCTAGTTGACATGTTCCCTTTCTATCAAATCCGGGGATAGCGATGGAAACGTGTGATAACGTTACAACAAACCCCGTAATGTAAAACTGCAGTTGCAGCCATTTAGCTAACGTTATCCAGGGCTGCTCGGGCACGGTGTCTCCCGGCGGGCACCGTTAGCTCGCTAGCTAGCAAGCAAGCAGCTCCGCTTGAGCGTCGCTGACTCCATCTCAGTCAGAGACACCGGGATAAATCCACCAATGCATCATCATCATCGTCGTCGTCGTTGTCGTCAAGTTAGCTAGCTACTGAGCCCCCATTAACGAATACGAGCGAGAGGCGATTCAGGCCGGGCCTCAGATCAACGCCGCTCGTTAGCCAAACGCTACACAACGTACACACGACATATGCACATCAGATTCGAATAACAGCGATATTTCGTTTCTCGGCTGGCATCACCCGTTATCTCTCTCCAGACCCGATTCACATCGCGTCAACGCACACAAAAGATCAACACGCTGAGAACGGAAACGCGTCCGTCTTGCTTTCAAAATAAAAGCTTCAGTTGTAAGTTTCCATGCACGAATAGTGAAATAAGTGAAAGGGCTAAAAAAACCTGATGCTTTATATCCTGCTGGGTAGTTTGATTTATAATAATGTATCATAATTCATTTGTGAATCATATTTTCTTTAAATAATTTAGATCTGCAAAGTAACATATTTTTTAAGCTGCCAAATAAATATACTGCAGTAAAAAGTACATTTGCCTCTAAATGTAGTGGAGTAGAAGTATAACATAAAATGAAATGGAAATACTCAAGTTAGGTACAAGTCCCTCAGTTTTGTCCTTTTGTGTCTTTTAAGTTATCATCTATTGCCAAATGAGGTAACACAATGGTGATTGAGCCTATTACCAACCGATGAAATTATATAGAAGTCCTTGCATTTTACAGTTTTATGAACTGGGTCTCTGGTATGACTCACTCACAAAATCACTACCACAAACGTTAGTGGTTCAAAAACAAACCTGATAATGAAACTGAGATCTTCCATATTGCTACTTTAAGTCGGTACTTAAGTAAATGTACTTAGTTACTTCCCACAACTGGCCATTCATGTTAGGATTATATTGTTTGATTCATTTTTAGTTGGTTTAGTTGGTACAGTACTTTGTATTACCTTTAATTCTGAATGTTGAGAATAAAAATTTAATTGTTTAATCAACCTGCCTTAGTTGAAATTGTACCTTAGTAGTGCAAATTCCCCAACAAAGTTGCAACTAATAGAATTAACACTGTGAACCTGAATCTCCCATTTATGAGGCCCCTTGGCAGTTATCCACTTTGCCCCACTGAAAAATTTGGCATCAGAAATTAAGTGATAACATCAGAGCATGTTGTTTGTAAAAGTTACAACAAAATTTGGGAGTCTAAAAGAAAATCAATATACTTAAAATTCTAGTAACCGAGTCAACAATTAGGAGAAATACTGTCAATGTGCACACCAGGAGGCATGTCCCAACTGCTTTTCTTATTTATACTACTATGAATTTGTAAAGAATATTAACAGAATAAATAAACTATTATGCCTGGTTTTGTAAATTGTTAACTTGTCAAGCAGCTAATTCCATTGCATTAACAAAGAGAAGATCACAGCATCCTAAATTTGTCATCAGAATGTGACGAAAATGTTTCCTGTAGTGAAAATAAGGGTACCTAATTTCTGACTGTTGCCAAATGATCAACGTGAAGATAGCAAACATCTAAATTTTAATATTAAATAGGAATTTATTTGATGGTTTAATGAGATATTAATAATTGACTTGGTACAACCAGTACCTAGTTTTTATTTTGAAAACCACGTGCGGAAGCTTCATTTTTACTCCCTGTCACTTGACACTCTGGTGTTCACCTCCAGCCTCTAGCCGTTAAGTGCGCAGACTCCTTGATTCAAGTGCTGATGGTTTCAGTATTAATGGATAAGAAACTGTTTTTATAATTTTGTGACTAAGTCTCATGACTTCATTTTAAGTCATCTGGACCAATTCCCAGCTGCAAATTGTTTTCAGATTACATCATCATCAGTGTGGGTGTGTGGTTTCACCATTAAAATCACTGAATTTACTTGCTTTTAAACCAGAAGCAGCATAGGCAACAGAGTTCACATCACTATTAAAGTATGTGAGAGGATATAGAACTGGGGTGTCATAACTGTTGGTGAAAATAAGCATAGGATGGGTCAGCATGATGATGTACACTGTAAAATGGTAAAGGTAAATTTATCTAGCGGAAATAGACTAGATGCTGACCATTTAACATTATGATTCAGACAAGTGTGGAATTGACATCAGAGATTTTAGTACTCTTTAGACAAAGATGTTCAGTAAATGACTTAGCTCTGCCCCCTGGTGGCACTCTGTTATTACACTTATTGTAGTGTAGATGACAGTAAATCCAAGGACATTTGTACTAAATTGTCCTGGAGATCACTGCATGCATGAAATATGATTGGATTAAGAATATGGAGAAGCAATTACAAGCAATTTAGCATTTTCTGGTGGGCAACATTCACCTTCAGGTTATACAGAAGGCCAATAATGTATGGAGTGAAGGAATCATGTTCTAAATAACTGCATTATCCTGTATGCTTCACACATTTTAGAAGAATTACACGCAATTAAATCTGGTCTTTTAATCATTCAAAAAAATATTTACATAATAAGTTTTTACAAAACAAAACAGGTCAAGCACAAAAGTTAAAACACATTTACTAGAAGCGAGAGTATGCTCCCCTCTGTGGAGCAGGTTGGGCTCCGCTCTGCTGCATCTGGTGTCGGAGCTGCTGGGAGTAAGGATCCTCCAGGGATTTGACCGACACCGTCGTCTTAGGCCCCGTCTTCCACTCCGTGCCGCTCTCATCCACCACAGAGGCTTCCACAGTTACAGTGTGAGTGCCCAGGATGGAGAAGTTTAGCAAGAACTGGGTGCTGAAGTAGTCGTTGTGCGGTTCTACTCGCTGCTCGATCTCATTAGTTTTAGTGTCTAGTGGAATCTGAAGGGTAGGAAATATGGGAAATGGATAAAAATATGGGAATGTTATTGTCAAAGGAGCAACAACACAGCCAATGGAGAGCAACTTAGAGGACAGATGTGTGCACTAGTGTGGTCTGTGTATGTAGCTGTGTTAGTAGTGCCTATATGGGTTTTAGAATATCAGATACAAGCTTCAATACATGAAACAAAGAGTGATATCCTGTATAATAAGAGCACAAGAGAATGGAAAGAGAGGATGTTTTGGACTTAAGATTTCTATGATTTCTTAAAAATATTTAATCAATAATCAAAGATTAAGGCAAAAAGCCAATACATACCTTGTGGTCAGGTCCCGTCTTGCTCTGGAGAACTGAAGTGACATTGAGACAGACAGACTGGATCTTCCTGAAGAGTCCTGGAGTGGAACCATGCTGCACTACCCCCTCCACTTTTAGAGTCAGCTGCTGGCTGTTCTGCACTGGGATTGGTTCACTCGGTGTTCGTGGGGATGGAGAAATGGCAAGCTGTAAAAATATAACACATGCCTGGATAAGTCTTCAGAGAGCTAAAGAAAGTTCTCTACTGTACTGCACGTCTCCATGATCACACAGCCATGTAAAGTGGATACTATATGTGGTGTCCTCTGTTCCTTTCCAAATAACGGGTCAAATAAAAGCATCTGAGTTATGATGGAGCGGCTTTCTCATTCTTCCTTTTGTTGATGAATGATTGTTAATATGAACATTGAAAGGCATCCTGTAAAAGTCCTGAGGACATGTAAATCTAATACAATGACATTGAGAGGACAGTACTGCTTTTGAGTAGATAGAAAGTTGTGTAGTGAGCTCAAAGTCATTCTTAATGTTTTTCATTCTGTTTGGCATCAGTAACTGTGAATTAGGCCAGGAATCATTCTTTATAAATTAAGTTCTGATTTAATTTTGACAGAAAATTTAATGAAAATGCCACCGTCTCACACAGGCAGTGTGTTCGCTCTAACCCATTAACATGGGCACCAAAATGAAACACAGCTGCCACACGCATGCCAGGCAGCCAGTGCGTTCCTGGCCTTAGGATGTCCATATGTTTTTTGCTTTTCTAATTAAAGTGCTTATATAATGAGTTACTGTACCTTAATGCTTGTTGACTGGAGCTTTTGGAAGAAGTACCTCTGGAAAGACAGCGGCACCTTGAGCAAAGCTATGACAGTGTCACAGAGGCAACCTGTATGCTGAAAAATAATGACAGGAAACAATACATTTACATTATCCACATTATAGGCGGTTTGCTGCAGCTCATTTCAATTTTGTGAAATCAACAGCAAGACAACTGTCATATGCTTTAAGAGTATAGACAATATCCAGTTAAGATCCATATATGCATCTAGGTACACTGACATACAAAGCTTAGCTGCACAAATACACCACTTACATAATACTAGATAACAACAGAACATTTGTTGCAACCTTTACACTTTGAAAATCTGGACACCCTGGAACAAAACCATAAGCATAAGTAACTTAGCATATGCAAACTTGGTGATCACTAGGTGGTCCATGTTAATCTTACCAGGTATGAAACTGGGGGATGTTTCTTGGTGAGGCCCTCCACTTCCTCCAGCACATGGTTGAAGACAGACATCATCCGTCGCTCGTATTCACTCTCTGTCTGCACCGACCCCAGGGTGCCATACTCCTGAAAACTAAATTACAGAAACACAGAGAGACAATCTGTTACAAACAGACGTCTGCCAGGAGACCGCCTTCAGGGGACACGTGCCACAGCAAAGCACTGTCAGTACAAAACATTCAAGTACGTGGATACAGTGAAAAGCCTTTCTAACAAGTTAATAAGATGCATTTATTTTCAATATGACGCTGTGTGTGTCATGATAACTGGTCACAGCATTGATATTAACATTCCTTTACAAACTCAATAAGATGCATGTAAACTAAAATGAGATTAGTTCTCATTGTTCAGTCTTCTGACAGTCGACGACAAAGAAAATACATTTTCTCAAGTGCCAAACCAGTTAAAACCCTCTGACCCAAGGGATTTAATTAAGACGGAAGTCCTTTTTCTCTACAGCAGTTTTCCCCAAAGTTTGTGAGTAAAACAATAAATCTAAGATCAATTTAACATTTTTCCCTGAACTGCCAAAAAAAATAAAAACAAATCATATTGGTCCACCTTTCTGGACTCCAGCAACAACTCTCACCTGGCTGCCTGTGGGTCCAGAATCAAAGCTTCTATCACATGGGAGACAAGCAAACAGCTCTGTTGTTGTCTGGACAGACAGTTAAAGCGAAATACGTTACAGCTGAGAAAACAAGGTCAAAAACACTATGCGAGTGTGACCGAGGCATGTTTAAGGATACAGCTCCACATTGCGAAGGGTGGCATAGTCGGCATCAAACGAGGCCTGGTGTAAATCAGCATAGCGCGCTCCAAGACTTCTGAACTCGTCCATG